CATGCAAACAGTTGTTTTTTTCTTGATTATGGCAGTGTTGTGGCAGATGATGATCTTAGGGGGAATACCCTCAGTGTTACTGTGTCTGAATCCTGGTAACTGAGCAAATGCTGGATGACATGCTAGATCCTTTCTGTTCACCTGGATTTGGAGAGCATGGGCTATCTCTCAGGATGAGCCCCTAATTGGGTTGTTTAACAACATTGGTTTTTCCCTAAATCCATCAGACAAGTGTAAGCTAGTTGTATGACTCTTGTGTGTCACTAAAATAACATGCATCTGATAATGCAATTAGAGACTTGAAACAAATTTGACTTGACTTAGGAGAGTAGGGGTAATATCCATATTTCCATATCCATATTATACTTTTCTTTTTAATGTGTAATTTTCAGATCCTTGTAGGCTTGAGATTTCATGACAATTACTACATTCCTGGATAGTTAAATCCACTCAGCATTTGGCTGAATGCCTTCTGAAGATATCCTGAAACACACCGTCTATTGCAGCTGCTCTGTTCCAGTCACAGTTCTGACTAGTCATCTAAGGGGACAAGGAATTCCTTTTGTAGGAGGTAGTGTAGGACTTGTTACCAGGAAAGCTCCATGTTTGAATTTGTCTAGTCCTGGAGAGAAGTGCTGTGGCACTGCAAGTTTGAATTTTAATTCCAGAGCCTAAAGAAGGAAAGGTGGGGGCTGTCCCCATCAGCAATAGTATCTTCTCACCCACATTCTCCTGCACATTGACTGGCCTCAAGCCTGCTTTTAGAGAAAGCTCTAAAACAAAGACATGGGTTTCTTCCTGAACCCAGGCAAAAAGATGTGCAGTTGTACTTTGCTTTGCCTGGGGGTCTTCTTGCTGGACATGCCTGATTTTTCAAAAATAAACCAATCCTTTTCTCTCCCCTTTGTAGAGAGGAAGCTTCCTTGGAAATAGAAAAATTTGCTCTGCATCAACTCAGAGACAGACCATGACTTTTTCAGGAAGAGAGCAAGTGGAAGTTCAGTCCCTGCCTGGGGAGAAAGCAGTAGCACAGGAACTCCCTGTGTGCAGAATGCAATGACTTTAGCTCCAGTCCAAGACAGCAGATACACCAAGGCACAGAACCCCAGAAATTATTTGTGATCTCCTCTGAGAAGATTATTCCAATCAATATATAGATTATTTCTGAATGTTTATAAGATGCATTACCCCCACCTGCTCAGCCCAGCTTTCCATCAGCAACATTCTTTGCATCAGCACATTAACAACTGCCCAGAAAGAAAGAGGGATTAAAAAACAAAACAAACAAAAAAAAAAAAAAAAAAAAAAAAAAAAAAAAAAAAAAAAAAAAAAAAAAAAAAAAAAAAAAAAAAAAAAAAAAAAAAAAAAAAAAGTTACAGAGCTGCTCCCTCTGGCCCCTGGCTGCATCTGCCCACAAGCTTCCTCAACTGAGTTATGGTAATTACATCACTTGAGATTTATTTAATATCTCTGTCCAGGAAAAAGAACTAGGAAGTCTGGCTGTGACAAGCAATCAGAGGGTACTCAGCTGATGAGCAGCTCCCCATCACTGAGAGAGCAGCAGGAACCTTCAATGTATTGGATTTAAGTAATGGTTTGCCAGAGGGATGGGGCCCATGCCACAGCAATCAAAGCTACTCTGCACCATTAAGGAGCTGTAAGTGGAGCAGGAGGCGCAGTGCAGCTATTGACCGAGTAGGTGGGCATGAAAATTGGTTTAGGTAACTGTTTCCTGAGAGATGGAAAACACAAAGGAATGTTTCTCTGGCAGCTTTCTGGCTCCCCGATCCTCTCTGTCCACATCAGCATTTATATTGTCTGTCTCTCACATGCTTGTGCACAATGACCAGTGTGGTGAGTTCAAGCTGTTCAGCTGCAGTCCACATAATGCTTTCCTGCTTGCATTTGCCCTCTCACTATCTCTGACATTTAAAAAAATCCCTGAACTAACAACATAAAAAAATAAATATAAAAATTTGCTTATATGATTTTATATCAAGCTGCCACACAGGCAGACCAAGTATTGATGCAGTTTTAGCCACTCTTTTACTTGCTTCCTCCACCCCCTCTGTGCTGAGCTATGGCTTGTACAGAGAGGTGAAGAGGAGGCACATGAATAGCAATACTTTTTTTGTCCTTGGTGAGGGAGTAGCTAAGGGCAAATGGGCCCACACTGTGCTTTAGATAACCAGTGTTAGAGTGTCTTCTGTGAGACCAACCTGCAGCCTCACACTTGAATCCTTCTATAACAAACAGGCTTGCCAAGATGCCTGGACATCTCCCCAGTCTAATTTCCTAGTCAGTAGCTTGGATGTAAACAACCAAGAGAAACCAGTTATCCACTCTTAGCTGATTGAGTCATGTGTATTTTCTTCCTCTTTCTGTACCCGAGGAGGGCAGAGGTAGTGTCTGCTGGAGGTGATGCCTCCCATAGTTATCCTCCCTATATTAACCTCTTGCTTCTTAGTGGGCTCAAGAGACAATGGATCAGCACTCCCAGAAACAGGTTCTTCTGCAAAAGAAGGTGCTGCCCATCATTTGCTGCACATTGCTTCCTGTGAAGCAAAATTAGGAAGGCTGAATTGGCCTCCTAACAGCTCCTGACTCTCAATGGGATCTCACCAAAGTGTCTTGGGCCAGCTATTTCCAGTGCAAGCATTTTAAGAGAGACACCTTGATCCATACCAAAGGGCCTGAATGCAGCATCCAAGTGTGAAAACATTGGCAGCTGTCCTATTTACCAAAACAGAAATAATACCCGCTCACCTCTGGGAAGCATATGGAGCATTTCCGATTTATTATTTGTTTTATTTATTTTGTCACATTTATCAGCCATTCAACTCTCTGGGCACACAGCCCATACATTAAAACCCAGAGTATAACACAAAGATCTCCTCTAGCCTGAGAATATCCTTTCTGCAAAACCAGGCATGGGCAGGAGGGAAGGATGAAAGATGCTTTACACAAGCAAAGGATGACAACAATATATTTTTCTCCAATTCTATTATTGATGGAACCATTCTGAAAATGTTGGTGACATCAAGAAAAGAAGATGGGAGCAATAAAAAGCATGGGGGGTGGTGGTGGAAAGCCATCCTGGAGCATGGACACAGAGACTCAGCCTGCAGCCAGCCTGTCTCACACACAGGAAGTTTCTAAAATGCTCTTTCCATTATTATTTCTCTAATGACCCCATTAGACACGTATGAAATTCTGAGAAGCTTTAATATGTTGTAGAAAGCCACACTGGCAAATCTGCCCAGCTTTTCTGAGGAAAGGCAGGCTGCACTGATGAATGTTTTAAAGCATCCCAATGTGTAATTTATTTCCTGGAAATTAATTGCATGTACTGGTTTCATTTTCCTGTAGCAAATAATCAGTCTGCTCCTTTTTAATTAGGTAACAACACAGATTCCTCTACTAATCATGACACGGTGTTTTATGCATGTCATGTCTTTTTCTATGGGAAACAATTTCAAATGTTTGTCTAGGGTCCAGAACAACTTTCAAGAGACATGAGATTATTTATCAGCAGTACTGTCTGGGTCACTGCCAATGAAGACCTTGTACACAAGACCACTAGAGAACCCAGACTGGGCATTGGTGCAGGCAATGGCCTCCTCAATGATAAGTTTAAGGAAGAAACCAATTTAAATGAAATTTCAATGGCATTGACATGATGTCAGACCCAGGTGCCAAGAGGTGTGTCTCATCTTGCAGGTATTCACTGGTTCCTGAGCTGAGACATTCCACTAACATTAGCCATATTGCACAGACTGTATCAAATAACACTTTTGGTCCACATCTAACTCAGCACCTTTGTCAGCTCTTCCAGCTAGAATGGCAAATACCAAGTTCCAATGGAGACCTGGGTCTGCATGGACACACATAGCAGGATGGGGTGAGGAAAGCCACTTCTGCTGATGATTGCAGAGAAAAGCTAATGGCCTCCAACAGCTGCTACTTAAAATTTTCTAACAGGCTGAGAGAGTAAAAACTATTGGCCTTGGCATCCATTCATTACTTGCAGCAAAACTCTAATTAAGCAATAGTGTTCAGTCATATTTACCCTCCATTGGGCTACAAGGAACCCATATATCTACTGAAATACACGCTACTGAAACAAAACAAATCTATCAGCAAAAAACGCTGCTGGAGTAAAATGTAATAATGATATCATAGCTATTAGACCGTGAAAACCTCTGCAACAAATTAATCTGCTAGAGAAAAGTTTGTTGGTGGGGTTTCGGCTTCCTGCTGGGAACCTGTAAAACCCGCACCACTGCCCGAGACATCGCCGCACCTACGGCCTGCCTCTTCCCCCTGGAGGTTCCCGTGTGTCACAGGTCCCCGCAGCGGCCGGTGGGGGCTGGAAGCCCGCTTGGAACATGCCGGGGCGCAGAGGCTTCGCCGCCTTCCGGGTGCCCTTCGGCGGCGGGGCCGCTTCCCGCAGGGCCGGGCTCGGTAGGGCCGGTGCGGGGTTCGGCGGGGCCGGTGGAAGCTCGGTGGGGCTGGTGCGGGGCCGGTGGAAGCTCGGTGGGGCTGGTGCGGGGCCGGTGCGGACTCGGCGG